TCTGCAAACTGTTTGACTGCTGACACTCCCTATTCTGTGAAATGGTAGTTCAGAGGCATTGTGTAGCATCTGCTCTCTGAATGCAGTACTCATTGCAGGCAAATTCCCACCCAGACCCAGAGGTACGTCCCTCCAGTCATGACCGGACCTACAATGTTTGATCAAGAATTCATGTCCCAAGTCTTTTAAAATGTTTATGTTGTGTGTGTGTGTTCTTTTTCCTTCTTCTCTCCAGTAGTGCCATGCACTTCCTAGGGTAGAAATTAGTAGGAGAAAAAAGAAATAATGATGGAGATGGGTGAGCAGAAACATCTGTCAGCCAAATGGTGTCTCAAACTGAAGCTCTGATTTTCAGTCTGTGAAAGGCACTTTTTGTCTTCTGCCAGCGGGGGGAATCTGGATGGGTGCCCAGGAATTAAACGAGAGCTGAGCAGAGAAAGCATCAACAGAGCTGTAATACAGGAAAAGGCGGAATTTTTGTGGAATCTTCACTCTTTCCTGCTCGTTTCCTGCTTACTACATGTGAATCACAGAGAAAACTTTTGTATTGGAAACTGAAGCAGAGCAGTCATTCTGGGATGGCCAGATTGAGAAAAATAGCCTGTGGATAACCCACTACCACTAACCTGTCTTTAACCCTCTTTGTGGCGTACAACTCAGCTAACAGCTGCTCTGATTTCCAGGAGTGTGGTCGAAGTGCTCTCTCTTTTATTTCTCTCATTCTTATAGTGAAAGTCTGTCAGCCAGGGAGATGGAAGCACTGTGGGTCAGTGAGTTACCAGATTGGCCAATCTCCCACATGCCCCAACAAGCAGCTCCCACTGCATGGTTTTTCTCTCTCATTGTCATAAGATATTATTGATTCGTGCTGATGTATCTGACATATTTACTCCAGAAGGCTTTCCTCTGGAGGCCTTGCAAGCTTTTTTTTTTTTTTTTTTTGGTTAAAAGACTAATAATTGTGTTTCATTTGAATTTCTTACTATTAAAGAACATAAAAGTAATACAGACATTCACCAAGATATTTCCTCACTGTGTTCTGGACTTAGTGTGGGAGAGAAGCAGCTTAATTTATGGCAGACATACTTCCATCACCAGGCTGGTGTGAGCCACGCATGTGTGTGTTTTTATGAAGAGATTACATTTAATTAAAATGTATAAGCCTGATGGGAGAACTTCCAGGATCCTGACAGTATTTTGCATAGAAAGAACAAAAAAAAGCCACTCACAAAAATACATATTGCAAGGCAGATTTAGAATGACTTACAATGTAAACTTGTCTCACCTGAAAATAAACCACAGTTAGACTAAATGAGTTTGCTTTTGTTGTTTGAAAGAAAACAGTCCACATCCCATCTAAAGAAATGGAACTCTAAGCAAGCATCAGAGAGATAGGAAACACGAGAGATAATTCACTAACCAACGTTCTGTTATCATTATAATTCAGATGTGATTAATGCCTCTGGAATTTGTTGTAATAATATTAGTCCTGGTGACCTGATTTGTTATACATATTGCTGCCATCAGGAACCTGATGTGTTGCCTAAAAGATTCAGAGCTTGCAGCCATCTACGCTGTACCTGCTGTGAGGACATCTGGATCTCCTCATCTCAACTGCTGCCTGATTCTTCCACCTTGGCAGTGCTTTTTTTTGCTGAGGCTGCCAAAGGAAAACCACTGGCAGTGATTCAGTGGTTTGGGGCTCAGCAGCAGTTCAGTGTCCCAGCATGCACAGACTCTGCCTAGCTTCCCTCCCACTCACCGAGAGATCCCCACTTTATTTAATTCCTCTTTGTTTAGTTTTGGCATTTGTTTTTCTTGTTGTTGTTCTTTTTTTCTTTTTTCTTTTGTCATCTTCCATCATCTTGGTCACATCTCTCCTCTTCAGCCATCTGCTTACCTCTCTCTCCTGATGCTCTCACATTGGTGATGCTGACCTGGACAGTTCCTTCCATCTGCAGCACGGCTCTCATCTGAACTTGATTATTACAAAGAGCAGGAAAGACCAAGTTAGTTTAAGACTCTCCTTTTGTTGCTGCACGTATGTGGGATGATGGCAGTTACTGTTATAAGTTTTTGGATGCAGATCTTCTACCCAGAATTTGGAATAGCAATCCACTTTTGATGAAGGGACTATTATGTTTCCATCTATAACATTCACATTTCATACCATTACATAGACTGTTCAACACCTACAATTGGATTGGTGCACTTTTCTTGAGTTTGAGCCCTGCTCCTGAAAGTTCCCTCTTGCTGTACTTCAGGAAAGTCAGTAGATCCAGAAGGTTTGTGTGTGGATGACAAGTGCTGGCTGTGTAGGGGCAGGACTTTGGGGGGAAAAAAGTGCTTTGTGAGCAGCCTTGAGCTGCCTTCATCTCAGCCAACATTACTCACTTTGCAGGACTGCACTGTAAGAGTGGTTAATGCATACTGACTTCACAGCAGTTCCAAAACTTTGGTGCCTGCATCATCAAATACATTACTAACGATCAATTTCTGTGTCTTCCCAAAGACTTTTTGTCCTGTTCTCTCTATGTGTTCCGCACACATGGCAGGGCATTTCCCATGCCTTCATTTTTTTTTCATTTTAACCTATATCTGAAACCAACAAGGTGAAACTGTGCAAATACTGGAAGTCTTTATTTTTAGATTATTTTTCTTTTAACTTTGCATCCCTGATTTTTTAAGAACTATTTGTCCACAAAGTGTGGACCTCCCTGGGTTCTAGGAATAATCAGCAGTGATTCCTTCCCAGTCTTGATACTTCTCACAGTGTATTACTATTCTCTATTAATAGTGAAAGCAAAGTAGCTTTCTGGGCATTTGAGGAACAGCTAAGGCATCCTGTCAAAACTATTTCATTGTTGCATATAGCCCTGATCCCAGTTGCTTTAGTATCTGCAATACCTGAGCACAGCACCACGAGTGCTACGTGTGATGCACAAATGTTACTGCTCTCTTTGGAGAAAAGCTTGCTCTTGCTGCACAGACACCATGATCCCACCAGGTCCAATTTCTGCCTGAACTCCTCACACAGCAAGCATCACTCACGCTCTTGTTTTTGTGTCAACACTACTTCATAACAGAACTGATTTTGTGATGCTTCAGGCAAGGATACACAAATTACAGGGCTTGAACTACTATATAGCAGCTGATGACACTGAAAATGAAGAAACAAAAAGCAGTATAGAAAGTCCCAAGGTTTCCTGATGGTCAGGATTTCCCAGTTGGAAAAGCAGTATATAGTGCCCTGATGATGTCATTGCAGCATCAGTTGATGACCAGGCTATGTTTATAATACTAAATAAAACATTGTCAGCTTGAAAGCTTAAGTACAAGACAAGCAATCATCTTCTCCACTTAATTGTTAGCTCACAGCTTGGCAATTTCAGCTGTTGCTAATTAATACTCTCTAAAATGATGTCTGAGCGTTGTTTGGACGATATCATAAATCAGGAAGCATTGCCAATAGGCAGCATAGGCAGTGCAATTTTGTGCTATGAAAACACTGTGCTAATGCATTACAGGACAGGCTGTGTGTCCTTTCATGAGCTCTGAACTGGAAAAAAGTTAAGGACTATGACTTAGGACCACAAGGCCTCCATGTACTGGAGACCAGAGACTGAGAGCTTCATTTCTTGGACACAACCAAAGCCGTGTTTTTAGATCCAGGGCTTAGAGGTTGGCTTGTAGCATCCATGGATGTAGGACGAGCTGAGTGCTGCTCACGGGACCTGAGCCTGGTGCTGACGGGAGATGTGTGACCAGCACGGGTCAGGCTCTGCTCTGTGAGGACGCTGTGCTCTGCACATGGGCTGATGGCCTTGTGGGCAGGGGTAAGCCTGCCCTTCTGCTTCCTGGGCACAGGCACATTGCCTCCACCACTGCAGCCAGACCACGTAGATGGAGCAGTGCTTTCCTGTCCCCTTCTATGTAGTGCAGGAGCTTCCCAGAACACTGCTGTGCACTGTGGGTGAGAGGTTACAATGAAGGAAAAACTTCCACACTTCTTTAAAGTGTGATAAGGTCCTGCTGGGAATGAAATACAATGAGAAATCCCATTTGGGAAGTAGTCCCATTGTGCTACTTCACCCTTTACTGGATCCCTTTGGACTTTATTGCTATGCTTAAATCAGACCCGTAACCCATTGAAAAAAAGTTAGGAGCGTTCTCAGTTCTCCCCGATAGAAAGAGCTTCACCTCAGAGGTCCCGTGCAGGCAGAAAGCAGCACAGCAGGCCCTGGGCAGTGTGGTCCCCTCTATCACAGCAGCATCCACCACAGGTCCTGCATCCCCAAACCCCCAAGTTGCCAGGCACATAAAATAAAAATGATAGGGGAAGACAAACTTGTTTTCAAATTATGGTCATGACATGTGATAGTGAAAGCATGCGTGCATAAACTGAGAAAATGTTTAAAAGACAAAAAGCAAACAAATTCCAAGAAGGGAAGAAAGAATTTTTATTATTATTATTATTATTATTATTTTTTTCCCCTCATGAGAACATGACGCAAAAGGCAAAGAACCAATCACAGGAAGAAAAAAGTTTCTGAAATATGCACTCATTTTATTTTTACTGATAAAATAATTAAAAAATGTGGCCCTGAATAAAGAAACAAAATGTTTCAGTCTCTGAGAAAATGACTCTGCAGAGCGTTTTCATAGACAAATTGCATCAGAGACAGCACAACTTAGGAACTGCTCCAGGGGGATGAAGTGTCTCTGGGTAGCTCTGAGCAGGAGAGCTGTGGGACCCCAGGAACAGGAGCTAAACAGGAGACCAACAGGGGTTAAAGGCCTGCATAGAGATGCAGCAGAGCCTCGGGGTCTGCTGCAGGAGTGTAGTGTGTCAGAGGGGCTGAGCCGCTCACAGAGCAGACTGAAACCTCAGCTGTACTATCATTCACTCTTCCTCCTCTCACAGTCATGTGAACTTCCACCCCCAGTCTGAATTGCAGATACTTTTGATTATTCAGCTCAGGTGTCCTTGCAGAGTAATGAGGTCTTTCTCCCCTGTGATTTCCAGCTGCCATCACTCTCGGCAACCCAAACAAACCCAACTGATTGCACTTATTTATAGACCTGAATGCTGATGCTGGTCTCTCCTGGGACTAGCTCTCATCTCTCAGGATGGAGCAGATTTCAGGTCAGCTCATTTCTTAGCCTTCTTTCACTTCCTCTTGGCCCTGGTGCTGCTGCCAGCCCTTTTCCTACAGGATGTTCCACTGGTGAGTACTCACTTGTTGCTGTGGTTGACACTTCACCTGTGTTCTAAGTGCTGGCTGTACGCTGTGGTCTTTCACTCATCTAACCCTTCTATTCCTTCAGCTTTTCCTGTCTCGGGACACTGGCAGTATGGAAGTTGTTGCAGGGCTCATCCTCGCTGGAAAGACTTGCAGAACTTGTGGGACTGTAACTGCTGGGTAAAGAGGTTTATTTCTGCCTAGATCAGGCTGCAGAAAACTGTGATAAATCCACGGGGAGAAAATGGTAGCACTCATTTCTGTGTCTTGCTGTTCAGAGCTGCTCCATCTCTCAGTGCTGAAGTTTGCTCTGCTGCTGCAGAATGCTTCCTGTGCATGAATCTGTCCCTCGTCTATTTGCTCACAGTTGTTTCTGACCAGTAAGTTAAGCTGGTAAGGTTGAATGTGCCTCACCTGCTCTTGAGATGTGAAAGTCACATGGGCATGCCTGCCCATAATCTCTGTTAGTGTGGGAACCTTGGCTGCTTCTTTGTCGCAGGAAGAACATCTCTGAGATATTTTGTATCCCAAGCCTATAGGAGGGCTTCAGAAAGTAGCCCTACAAACGTAACACAGTAGCTTGGACTGCCAAAGAAAGGAATCAGAAGGGCAGTGACTATTTGTACTGCCTCAGGCAGCTATCTCTAGTAGGGCTGAACTTGGAAGCTTTGTCCACGTTGATGGTCCATGAGAAGGAGGTGACTTTCCAGAGGCTGGGTCAGGATAGGCAGCAGTTCTGGTGCATCTCCTGGTGCACCTCTGCATTAATGACATACAAAGCAAGGGAGCTGGATTCTTAGCTTGGGGAACTGAACTGTGTACCTGGCATCAGACTGCAGCAACAGCAGAAGTAATAAGTTCTTGGCTTGTTAATTAGAATCTGAGCAAATTTAAAATTGGGTCCAGTTTTCTGTAGGGGTTGAACATGAGCATTGCCATGATCCCGGATCTCGTACAGCAACTGGTGGTTGTCACCTCCTCAGTTTTGTCATGCTTCATAGTTTGCAAACCCTTCGGGGCAGAAATTCTCCCCTTTTTGTTTACAGGCCCTTCTGGAGTCAGGCCCTGACCTCCCCTACAAATATTTGTACAAACGTGATCATATTGTGCTGTAGTTCAGCGGAATGACTGATAAATACTGCCCCTGCCTTGACGAGTTTGAAACACAAGATGAACTGTTATGAGCAAGGGCATGGCATTGCTTTCAAGGCATGAAGTCTGATATGTTAGTAAATCATCATCTCACTTCTGTCCAGTGATAATATTGAGGTTATTTAGAACTGCCCGCTTCCAATCATAACAGATGGAGGTTTAAGGAGGGATGGACAGGAGTAGGTCCTGCAGTTGAGTTCAGGGCAGGTATTCTAAACAAGTGGGTATGACAAACAGCAGCAGGACTTCAGAGATCTTCAATCTTAATCACCATTAAGAACAGACATATTGAGAGAATGAGGTCAGAGAAAGCCCTGGCCTCCTAACATCAGTATTTTCTTTTGTGTGCTCCTTGTTGAGCCTCTGTAAGGCTGACCTGGGATGAGGCAAGCAGCTGGCTGTGAGGGTTCTGATCGTTGCTTGGTTTGGGTATCAAGAACCATGTTCCTATAATTACTGTAATTATTGAACTCTGCTTAGCTTTCCTGATCTGGTTCTGGCAGAACTGTCAGCTGTGGGTGATGATAACAAAGGTCACATTTTAACCAGCAGAAAAGCAATCTCCAGGGTGAAGGTTTTGGTACTGCTGCCTTTACTCTGATTACAGCTATTCAGCAGGACTGCTCTAAGCAGCCTGGGAAAGCATCTCTGCCACTGCTCTGCTCCACCGCTCCGTCTTCTGGGCACCACAAGCAGGCACAAGCCTTTATCTGACTTATTTTTACAGTCTTTAAAAATAAAATCTATCTCCCAGACTGAAATGTTGCCCTTGCATTTTTGTGACAGCAACTATTTCCCTGGGGAGATTTTAAGCTGAGGACTGGAAAGAATGTTCCCATGCATTTTGTACAGCACTGCCTGCCATGGACACAGAGCATCTGCCGACCAGTGAGCCACCAGAAGTGAAGGCAAGTGGCTATTCTGGCTGCTTGCTGAGCAGCCCACTCTAAGTAGGTAAAATGAGGACCCGATCTTGTGCCTTAGATTTGGTGATTGTGTTTTGGCAGGACTTGTTTTATATCTGGAGGTGTAATGCAGTTAGGGCAGCTGCCCAGGACCGGGTGCAATGGACGCTTAGCCCTTACTGGCGTCTGGGCTGGCTTCCTTTTCCTTGTTAACGAGAAAGGCAAGATCGCCCTTGGCTGCTGCAGCATAATGGTGCTGGCAGTACGAAACGCTGAAAGTCAAACCCCGTTTTCCATCCCTGAGCGCGGGATGAGAGCGCCGCGGCGTTGAGCGCCGTCTCGGCGGGGTGGTGGCGCCACCTGGCGGCGGCGGGCGGGAGCGCGGGACAGGGCGGGACGGCGCCCGTGGGACGGCGCCCGGGCGGTGCGGGGGGCTCCGCCGTCCGGGTAGGATGCAGCCCTCGTTTTCCCCACGAAAATGCATAATCTTTCCGCGGTCTCGGCGTGACGCCGTCCTGCAGGTGAAGCCATCTGTGTGGCACGCGGTGGAGTGCAGCCGTAAGATTTTTTCAGAGGAGGGCAGAGCGGAGCAGCGGCTGGGGGCGAACAGGGCGCTCCGCAGCGCGTCTTCCTGGCTCAGCCACCCGGACTGGGCTGCGTGCCTGAGGGGGGCTGCTCCGAAAGTAATGCCTCCTATTTTATGACGTTGGCCCACGCTGTCGGTCGGTGTGTGACAGCCCGAGGACGAACCTTCCCGCCAATATTCCGTGACAAATTGTTGTTGTGCGACAGATGGCAGCAGAGGGGCGGATTGAGAGAACGGTGCCGGACATGGAAGTGTGCATGGAGCAGAGGGGTGGAACTGAAATCATCCGCGTGGAGAAAATGGTGCCCGCTGATCGACACTCACTGAGCGTTTATGGAGCCCTGGTGTGGCTGCTGGCACAGCGAGGCGGTGGGTGCTGCGTTTCAGTGGTGGTGACAGCGATGTGAAAGACAGGATGCTGTGGATGGCCGTGCAGATACTTAATGGGCACAGCATGCAGGATCTTGTTCACTGCTGGTGAAAATGCACAGATAATGGTGGTGACCATGTTGAAAAATAGTGTTTTATAGCTGAGAACTTGCTCTGTCCGAGTGTGCTATTGTGCTCTTTGTAGATGTTGGAGTTTCCATGGAAATAAATGACTTTCTTAGCAACCCATGTGCTAAAAAGTTACAAATCCTTCGGTAACTCCTCAGTGTAACATACAGAAATGATACTCAGCCAAACAGTTTTAAGATTCAGCATTCATATTTACTTGTCCTTTGACAGGAGGCCGTGAGATTCTATTAAGGCCTCCCATCTGCTCCATAGACAGCCTGTCTAGTTGCCTGATAGCCCTGCAAGCTGCTCAGATTTGAGTGCTCTGACACTCGTACCTTGTTCAGGCAATGGCCAGTATAGTCTCTGTCTTGGTGCCAGATGTATAAGTTCACTGCTTTGATTAGGCTGAAATGCTGCTTAAAATACACTTTTAATCTGCCTTGTTGGATTTGTGCAGTGTTCTAGAAGCTGCTGGTAAAGAAATTGGTTTGGTCTTTATATATTTGAAATCTTCAGACAGAGATTGGGAAACATTGTAGACTGTTAAGGCAACACATACATTAAAAAAAAAACTGGCTCCTACTCTTATGAAACTTGTTGGCAGTTGTAGCAGCAACAGTTTGGTTGGGTCTGTCTTGTTTCACTGTGGAGAGGTTTGATGAAGCAGGTGGTTATTCTATGAGAGGGGCTTTGGGGGGTCAGCTTTAAGGAGAGCAGCTGAAGAGATCTCTTGCCTCTCAGGAGGACAGGTTAGATCCGGTGGTCACAGTGATACCCATTGGATTGAGACATGCATGTATACTGTACAGCAAAACCACTTTCCTTCTGTTAGGAAGGCTTCTGCAGCTGAAGAGCAGCTCTGGTGTTGGGGAAGCCCTTCATTGCCACAGAGGGTGATGGCTGATGCAAACCCAACTGTCACTGTTGAGCAACACAGAACACGAAATGGGAGCTGGAGCCCAGAGGTCAACACACTTCCCTAGGACAATGACTCTGCAAGCAAAGACAGCAGTGTTGAAATGCCTTCTGCATGCTAAAAGTGGGGTGTGTGATAAGCTGCACATCTGCCTCCCCCCAGAAGCCCAAAGCAAAAGGGTCTGAAAACAGCAAAAGCTGGCATCTTGGTGACCCTGTGGTGGCTGCTGGCAGGCCTGTGAGAGCACAAGGCTGATAAACTTGACATCTGGATATGGTAGGCATTCCTGGTACTGTTGATCCCATGCTGTTTCTCCAGTTGTGTCTGAGGCTTAACTGAACAGCAGAACATCTGCTAGAGATCAGACGAGCGGGCAGCCAACCTGGTGCCCTATCACTGTGGGTTTGCAGCAGATGCCAAAGGGCAGAGCAGCTGGTATCGGAATGGGGCAGCCCTGCTCTCTGGTTATCTGTGACTCAGCCTGTCAGAACTCATACCTCTGAGCTTAAGAGTTCTGATGTGCTTTTTCTTCCCCGACTTTTGTAATTGCTTTTGCCAGTGGCAGCCAATGGCCCCTTGATCAAAGGGAGCAGAGCAGTCTGAAACATTTCAGAACGTCACTCAGCAAAGCTATGCTCCCATGTGGGAAAGGACCTGGCGTAGTTCAGAGACAATAGCCACAGTGGGAGCACACCAGTTTAACACAGACCTTTGCCTGTTACATCATGTAGTAATCAGAAATGCTTTGTTCCCAGGATATTCATTTGATAAGATCACTAGAAACTGGCAGCAGAGAAACTTGGTGAATATGTCATTTCTGAAAGCAGTGTGCAGAGAAAAGTAATTTAACGTGGTCAGTAAAAGCCATTGATTAGCATCAGAAGCACAATCTCTTGGGGGGGAGCTGGGTGGAGCTCAGGAAGAG